AAACCTGGAGCCACACGGAGGTCCCGAAACATGGAGAGCCAAGATGATGGATTTGGTACTGGAAAACCTCGTGTATCAACATGTTAAGGACACTACCAGAGAGAGAAGGGAGGATGAACCAGCAAGACTGGACCTTGTGTTCACCCTGAGCAGTTCAGACATTGAGAGGCCCGTTGGAGCTAGTGATCACATGGTTGTGTGTTTTGAATACATAGTAGAGTTACAAGTGGAGAGGGTAACAGGAGTTGGATGGGAAAAGCCAAACTATAAAAGGGGGGACTACACAGGTATGAGGAACTTCCTGCAGGAGTTTCAATGGGACAGAGAATTGGCAGGAAATTCAGTAAATGAAATGATGGAATACGTAACAACAAAATGCAGGGAGGCAGAGGAAAGGTTTGTTCCCAAGGGGAATAGAAATAATGGGAAGACCAAAGCGAGTCCTTGGTTTACCTGAAGGCATAGGGAGGCAAAAACAAAGTGCACCAGTGAAGGGAAAAGGTACAGGAGGAAAAGGACCCAGGAAAATAGAGACTAGTTGAAGAGCCAGAAATGAGTATGCACAGATAAGGGGGGAGGCCCAGTGACAGTACGAAAACGACATAGCATCGAAAGCCAAGTCTGACCCGAAACTGCTGTATAACCATATTAGGAGGAAGACAACAGTCAAAGACCAGGTGATCAGGCTGAGGAAAGAAGGTGGGGAACTCACCAGAAGTGATCAAGAGGTATGCGAGGAGATCAACATGAGATTTAGGGAAGTATTTACAGTGGTGACAGGAAGACCTCTGGGTGGACAGAACAGAGGGGGATGCCAACAAGGAATATACCAACAAGTGTTGGATGACACACACACAACTGAGGAGGAGGTGAAGAAGCTGCTAAGAGACCTTGATACCACAAAGGCAATGGGACCAGACAACATCTCCCTGTGGGTCCTTCGAGAGGGAGCAGAAATGTTGTGTGTGCCACTAACCACAATCTTCAACATATTCCTTGAAACTGGGCAACTACCTGAGGTATGGAAGATGGCAAATGTAGTACCCATATTTAAAAAAAGGAGACAGGAAAGAGGCACTAAACTATACACCAGTGTCACTGACGTGCATAGTATGCAAAGTCATGGAGAAGATTATCAGGAGAGTGGTGGGAGCACCTGGAATGGAACAAAAGTATAAAAGCCAACCAGCACGGATTTATGAAAGGCAAATTATGTGTCACAAACCTACTGGAGTTTTATGATAAAGTAACAGAAGTAAGACATGAGAGAGAAGGGTGGGTTGATTGCATCTTCTTGGACTGCAAGAAGGCCTTCGACACAGTTCCTCACAGGAGATTAGTGCAGAAGCTAGAGGATCAGGCAGGTATAACAGGAAAGGCACTGCAGTGGGTCAAAGAATACCTGACAGGGAGACAGCAATGAGTCATAATACGTGATGAGGTATCACAGTGGGCACCTGTGACAAGGGGGTTCCCACAGGGGTCAGTCCTAGGACCAGTGCTATTTCTGGTATATGTGAATGACATGATGGAAGGGTTAGACTCAGAAGTGTCCCTGTTCATAGATGATGTGAAGTTAATGAGGAGAATTAAATCAGATGAGAATCAGGTAGGACTTCAAAGAAACCTGGACAGGCTAGACACCTGGTCCAGCAACTGGCTTCTCGAATTTAACCCCGCCAAATGCAAAGTCATGAAGATTGGGAAGGGCAAAGAAGACCGCAGACGGAGTATAGGCTAGGTGGCCAAAGACTGCGAACCTCGCTCATGGAGAAAGATCTTGGGGTGAGTATAACACCGAGCATGTCTCTGGAAGCACACGTCAACCAGATAACTGCTGCAGCATATGGGCGCTTGGCAAACCTGAGAATAACATTTCGATACAAAAGCCTTCGACAAGTGTGACCATGGCGTAATAGCGCACAAAATGCGCGCTAAAGGAATAACAGGAAAAGTCGGTCGATGGATCTATAATTTCCTCACTAACAGAACACAGAGAGTAGTCGTCAACAGAGTAAAGTCCGAGGCAGCTACGGTGAAAAGCTCTGTTCCACAAGGCACAGTACTAGCTCCCATCTTGTTCCTCATCCTCATATCCGACATAGACAAGGATGTCAGCCACAGCACCGTGTCTTCCTTTGCAGATGACACCCGAATCTGCATGACAGTGTCTTCCATTGCAGACACTGCAAGGCTCCAGGCGGACATCAACCAAATCTTTCAGTGGGCTGCAGAAAACAATATGAAGTTCAACGATGAGAAATTTCAATTACTCAGATATGGTAAACATGAGGAAATTAAATCTTCATCAGAGTACAAAACAAATTCTGGCCACAAAATAGAGCGAAACACCAACGTCAAAGACCTGGGAGTGATTATGTCGGAGGATCTCACCTTCAAGGACCATAACATTGTATCAATCGCATCTGCTAGAAAAATGACAGGATGGATAATGAGAACCTTCAAAACTAGGGGGGCCAAGCCCATGATGACACTCTTCAGGTCACTTGTTCTATCTAGGCTGGAATATTGCTGCACTCTAACAGCACCTTTCAAGGCAGGTGAAATTGCCGACCTAGAAAATGTACAGAGAACTTTCAAAGGCGCGCATAACGGAGATAAAACACCTCAATTACTGGGAGCGCTTGAGGTTTCTAAACCTGTATTCCCTGGAATGCAGGAGGGAGAGATACATGATTATATACACCTGGAAAATCCTAGAGGGACTAGTACCGAACTTGCACACGAAAATCACTCACTACAAAAGCAAAAGACTTGGCAGACGATGCACCATCCCCCCAATGAAAAGCAGGGGTGTCACTAGCACGTTAAGAGACCATACAATAAGTGTCAGGGGCCCGAGACTGTTCAACTGCCTCCCAGCACACATAAGGGGGATTACCAACAGACCCCTGGCAGTCTTCAAGCTGGCACTGGACAAGCACCTAAAGTCAGTTCCTGATCAGCCGGGCTGTGGCTCGTACGTTGGTTTGCGTGCAGCCAGCAGCAACAGCCTGGTTGATCAGGCGCTGATCCACCAGGAGGCCTGGTCACAGACCGGGCCGCGGGGGCGTTGACCCCCGAAACTCTCTCCAGGTAGACTCCAGTAAGGAATCGTTCAAGACACTGTACACTGTGTACGTCAGGCCCATACTGGAGTATGCAGCACCTGTTTGGAACCCACACTTGATCAAGCATGTCAAAAAATTAGAGAAAGGGCAAAGGTTTGCGACAAGGTTAGTTCCAGAGCTAAGGGGAATGTCCTATGTAGAAAGGTTAAGGGAAATTGGCTTGATGACACTGGAGGACAGGAGGGTTAGGAAAGACATGATAACGTCATACAAAATACTGCGTGGAATAGACAAGGTGGACAGAGACAGGATGTTCCAGAGAGGGGACACAGAAACAAGGGGTCACAATTGGAAGTTGAAGACCCAGATGAGTCAAAGGGATGTTAGGAAGTATTTCTTCAGTCATAGAGTAGTCAGGAAGTGGAGTAGCCTAGCAAGTGAGGTAGTGGAGGCAGGAACCATACATAGCTTTAAGATGAGGTATGAAAAAGCTCATGGAACAGGGAGAGAGAAGACCTACTAGCACTTAGTGAAGAGGCAGGCCAGGAGCTGAGTCCCGACCCTTGCAACCACAGTTAGAGTACACACACAAGTATGCATACACACACGACCACAAGCACTCACACATATATGAGTACACAAATACACATGCAAGCACACACACATGCACACATACACACACACGTTCAAGACACTGTACACCGTGTTCATCAGGCCCATACTGGAGTATGCAGCACCAGTTTGGAATCCCCAAGTGCTTTTTATGATTTGATGTTCTTTTGGCATATGAGCAAAATAGCATTTATGAAGGTACAGTATTCAGGGAAACTGATTAGCCAGACTTGAGTTCTGGAGATGGGAAGTACAGTGCCACCAATCTTAACCCTTAAACTGTCCAGACAGATTACTTTCAAATGTTGAAAAAGCGTAGATCTATGTTTGGACAGTTTGAGGGTTAAGGAGGTGGTGGTGAATGTTGCATTTTGGAGGGGCATCAAAGCTATGATGTTGCTACCCTTCTCTGATTGATGAGTGGGAGAAGACCACAGCGTTAAAAAAAATCAGGAAAACCAATTAGCCAGACTTGAGTTTTTGAGGTGGAAAATACAGTGTGTGTGCTCTGAGGAATGGGTGGGAATGTTGCAGTTTGGAGGGTCTTCCAGGGTCTCCAAACTGTGACATCTGCACCCTTCTGGCAAGACAGCAATTGGATGTATGTGTTACCTATTTTGTGGGTCAATTGAGCCTACCTTTGTGGGAAACAGCTGGTGTGTTAAGATCTATAGAGAACTTGGGTGATTATCACTGACTTCATCACTAACTAGGGTTTGGGAGTTGTGGTCAAGTTTGATCCTATAGTTGAGAAGAAGCCATTTAATTTGTTAACTATCAGAGATCTGGAGATCTTTAGTTAGCAGCATGACTCACAAAATTGTAATGACACGATTGCAAACAAACCATACCACGGACGGGGATAGAACCCGTGACGGTCTGGAGTTTTGAGAGACTGATCGTGGGTTCTATCCCTGTCCGTGGTATGGTTTATCTTTAGTTGGTACAGTTTCTTTGAAATTTGCAAATATACTTGTGCCCAGGATTTGGGAATGTGTTTTCCAAGTCTTTAATATCTCCATTATTTCATTGATCCTCTTGACATGATACTGATGTTTTAAGTTCTTTATAAGGGAGGGGATTTTTTTAATATAATTTTTATAGTTTGGGCAATAATCCCAATCTGCATTTTCTCAATGCTTTTGGTGTGTGGATCAGAGGATGCTGTTGGCCATGGGCTATTACTCTGTTGTGGCCTCTTTAGTTTTGGGAAGACAATGCCTCTACAAACAAAAGCACAGTTTTTTAAAAGTAAATTTTTTTTATAATTTCTTTATAAATATTTAACATGTCTTTCTGTTATCCATGCCATAACAGAGGCTTTCCGCTGCTGGATAATAACAAAAGGCAAGTCTGCATAAATTGAGTTGGAACTTTAAGTTTTGTAAACCAAAAATTCATATACACAGAGGTATTATTTAATATACAGTATATTTGTTGAGACTTTACCTTAATCTGTAATTCTGTAAAGGAATATAATATATTGGATTAGAAACTAGGTACTGTAGATTGAGGTCTGTTATCCTGGCATTAATAATAATGATAATAATACAGTATAATAATAATATTTTATTTGACATGATACATGTTTGTACAAAGAAATATAATAATTGGGTGTACATGCCAAAAGCCCCTTTATATGCAGAGCATTTTGGGCAAACTTAAAATTAACTTATAATTAATAAGACAATAACAGTACTTATGGTCATTAAATGAGTTACAATGAATACAAGAGAATTGATGTCAGAAGGTTTTTTGTGCCTCGTGTCAGTGTATTTATTGAATCACGTAAATTGATGGTATCATTGCAAAACTGTTAAAACACAGAAACACACTATAATAACTAAATTTGTTTGTAAAAACTTTGCAGCTCCACGTGTGGAGGATGTAGAAGTGAAGCCTGAGACGCGCAACACCATACAGTTGCCTACGCCTGTTGCTACGTAAGTGCTCTCTCAGTACAACTTAAACAGTTTTCTTTGTTTTGAACTGTATGTAAATGTATATATATATTGAAATTCCAAGTTGATATTTAATCTCTCAATGTGAATGATATATGAGTACCTTGTTCTTTTTCATCAGAGTATCACACATGTATCGCAGCACTTCCATGACTTTAGCACCTCGTAGTGATTCCCCCCGTAGCACTCGCTCGGCACCTTACCCAGCTGGTGTGACAGCTGGTGGCACAGTCACACTTATAGGAGGAAGAAATGGAGAACACAGGTCTCGAGGAGAATCGCCTAGGTCTGTCCACTCTGCAACCCCTGCGTCTCACACCTATGGGGTGTCTCGGCGAACCTCCAGTGTAGATAGCCAGTCTTCTGTGGATTCTCGAGGTCACCGCAGGTTAGTTTATCATTATTAAAGAAATAATGTACAGATTGTGAAGTTTAATACCGTACTAGGTCAGTATTTTTAATTTTTTACAATATCGCTTGCCTCGCCCATGGATACCAACTTGCAGAAAATCATACTCGTCTTTGAACTCGTCATACCACTGATTTTGAAATGCACTTCAACGTTATAGTATGCCTTTTGGGTTTTGCTGTGGTCGTTTTAATCATTGGGGTATCTGCAAACATGTTTGGTGACTTTTAAGGGAAAGGTAGTTTGTACTGATTCTATAATATTTCTTCTCAATTCAAAAAATGCAGATACCAAGATTTTTTATATATTTAGATTTCAGTAGTTTTTAATATAACCTCGCCTCACTTAACGACAGAGTTCCGTTTCTAAGACCACGTCAGTAAACAAATTCGTCGCTAAATGAGGAGCATACTATACTGATAGTGGGTTTGTGTCTACCATCTTTGATATTGTTTTAATGTCACCTTTGCACCATTTATAACATTTCTGGTATATTTTTAAATGTTTATACAGTAGTGTACTGTATATTGTAATAAACAGAATAGAGAAAATCAGCTCTAATATACATTATATAGGTATGCATAATGGTCAGAGAGCCCGTCGTAACTCTAAGCCATCAGTAAATGAGTACGTCGCTAAGTAAGGAGAGGCTGTGTAACCAAGAGTCATGATCATGCCTATACAGTGGACCCTCAGCTAACGATGGCATCACCTTATGTTAAATCCAGCATACGATACATTTTAACGCAAAAATTTTGCCACATGTGCAACATCTGGGTATCTTTATTGTAGACGTTTCGCCATCCAGTGCTTTATTAATACAAATTCCAGGACATAACTTGAAGACAGGAGGACTATATACAGAAGATGAGGTAATCAGTCCATCAACCTTGGAGTACGTGCGAAGAGCACCATAGTCGTGGAGATTCTCCACGACTATGGTGCTCTTCGCACCTACTCCAAGGTTGAGGGACTGATTACCTCATCTTCTGTATATAGTCCTACTGTCTTCAAGTTATGTCCTGGAATTTGTATTGATAAAGCCACTGGATGGCGAAACGTCTACAATAAAGATACCCAGATGTTGCACATGTGTCTTAATTTCATCTTGTTGGTATTATATACCATTCTTGCACAAAAATTTTGCCTCGGCTAATGCTAAAAAACTCACCCTACGTGATTCGTTCAAGACGCGTCCACATGTGGCCTGAGCGCGCCTCAGTTGTCCCGTGGGTGCCAGTGTTTATAAGCCGGCCAGTGCGGTCGCATCCACACATACAATCGGAACATTTCATATTATCACAGCGTTTTTAGTGATTGTACCTGCAAAATAAGTCACCATGGGCCCCAAGAAAGCTTCTAGTGCCAACCCTGCAGGAAAAAGGGTGAGAATTACTATGGATATGAAGAAAGAGATTAAGGAAATGTGTGCAAAGTGGCTTGAAGTGCAAACCTTTATGGATGAAAATCACCCTCACACAGCTATTGCAAGTTGTGCTGGTGACTATCACAATGACAATGTTGTTAACCACTTCAGACAAATCATAAAGGAACGGGAAGTACAGGCCTCTATGGACAGATATGTTGTGCGACAGAGGTCCAGTGACACTCAAGCTGGTCCTAGTGGCATTAAAAGAAGGGAAGTAACCCCGGAAAAGGACTTGATACCTCAAGTCCTAATGGAAGGGGATTCCCCTTCCAAACATTAACAACTTCCACGCTCTTCCCTCCTCCCATCCCATCAATCATCACCAGATCTTCAATAAAGGTAAGTGTCAGTTTGTGTGTATTAAAATTAATATTTCATGTGGTAAAAAATTTTTTTTTTTCATACTTTGGGGTGTCTTACATGGATTAATTTGATTTCCATTATTTCTTATGGGGAAAATTAATTCAGCTAATGATAATTTCAGCATACGATGAGCTTTCAGGAACAGATTAATATCGTTAGCTGAGGGTCCACTGTACATTCATAATCAATTTACCCATTATATGACCTGTACCAAGGCTGAAACTGCTGATCAAAATGCACAAATAATACAGATTTTTTGTTTGCTGTAGGCACAGGCGGAGTCGTGGGCGATCATCTGATGGAGAGAGTGAGGCTAGCAGTAAATGCTCTTCTCGAGGGCATCGTCGCCATCGCCATCGTCATCATTCTGACGATTCAGACCATCACCGTCACCGCCATCGCCGTCGAAGGCATAAGTAATTTTGCTTTATACCATAAAGATAAAAGATAGATTTTATTTCTTTGCAAGGTTACAATGTGTATTTACAATTTTGATTAGTTAAGTACAAAGAAAGCCACTATCATGCCAGGGCATTTCAGGCAGACGTATCCTAATACATAATAACTACTTAAGTCTAGACAAGATAAGTTTGGTTAACTTTTTAATACATCTTTATTTTATCTTAATACTAATGTGAGGTAATCAAGGTTGTGGTTTATAAGGATAATAATTTTGAAGTTGCACATAATAAACACAGTATTACAGTTAAAGGTTCAAACAGCAATATTTCATGGATTGGCAGATGTTTTAATAGACTCAAGGTCATCTTTCAACAAACCGGCCGTATCCCACCAAGGCAGGGTGGCCCAAAAAGAAAAACAAAAGTTTCTCTCTTTAAATTTAGTAATTTATACAGAAGGGGTTACTAGCCCCTTGCTCCTGGCATTTTAGTCACCTCTTACAACACGCATGGCTTACGGAGGAAGAATTCTGTTCCACTTCCCCATGGAGATAAGAGGAAATAAGCAGGAACAAGAACTAGAAAGAAAATAGAAGAAAACCCAGAGGGGTGTGTGCATATATGCTTGTACATGTATGTGTAGTGTGACCTAAGTGTAAGTAGAAGTAGCAAGACATACCTGAAATCTTGCATGTTTATGAGACAGAAAAAAGACACCAGCAATCCTACCATCATGTAAAACAATTACAGGTTTCCGTTTTACACTCGCTTGGTAGGATGGTAGTACCTCCCTGGGCGGTTGCTGTCTACCAGCCTACTACCTACAACAAACAGATCTGTTTGTGATTATTGATAATACCACTGTATGGGCAAAATGTCAGTAAAGGATTGCATTGTACTGCACTTGTCTTTATGTATAGAAGACAACACGATGAATTCACTTTAAATACTGCTGTGAATATCTGTAAATTCACCTTCTAGTCATTGATAAATTTTGTTGAATTTGGATTATGTAATTAAGTTTTAAGGAAAAATTTTACAAATGGAGGGTGACAGTTAAACTGCTACAAAATACACACTCTGTAAATTCAGCATAACCTAATTCATTATAATCATTGATAATACTCTTTATATTTTCAGATCAGGTGGTAACATGGTAAACAGTGATACCCAGTGGGCCCAGGTGCAGGCAGGCGAGGTACAGGTTCGGGGCAGCACAGCCACTGTGCGGGATCTTTCTCATAAAAGTGGCTATCAGCCTTCAGGTGTTGATACTGAAGCTGACTCCCACCATCACCAACATTCCAACAAAAAGCGACACAGGAAACACAGGTATATATAGTTTGAACGTAGATTGATAATTGTACGTTAAATTTTAAATTTATTATAACATTTTTAGGTTTAAATTTTTTTGTATCTTTGAGGCTTATGTACATAGATGAAAATCAAACTCAAAATGCATAAAGAATTCAAATGATACTCTCCCTAGGTCTCGGTCTAGGTCTCCATCTGAAGTGAAAAATACAAGACTGCCAGATGAGCTTCGGCGACACCTGGAGTTTGATCTGCAGAAGACACAAGGCCTGACTGAGGCAGAGTTAAAGGAGATCCCTTACACTAAGGTAGAAACTGCTAAGACCATTAAGATTAAGTACACTTCTCCAAAGACCAAGCGACACAAAAGTCCTCGACGTTCTAAAAGGTTGGTTTGTGCAAATAAAATGCACTCGTTTTTAGTTAATGCACTATTATAGATTGGTTCTGACTGATACAGTATTTGAAGGATGAAAATACAGTGGCACCTCGGGATACGAACAGCTCAAAACTCGAACAATTGTTTATTTTTTTTTTTTTATCACACTGGCCGATTCCCACCAAAGCAGGGTGGCCCGAAAAAGAAAAACTTTCACCATCATTCACTCCATCACTGTCTTGCCAGAAGGGTGCTTTACACTACAGTTTTTAAACTGCAACATTAACACCCCTCCTTCAGAGTGCAGGCTCTGTACTTCCCATCTCCAGGACTCAAGTCCGGCCTGCCGGTTTCCCTGAATCCCTTCATAAATGTTACTTTGCTCACACTCCAACAGCACGTCAAGTATTAAAAACCATTTGTCTCCATTCACTCCTATCAAACACGCTCACGCATGCCTGCTGGAAGTCCAAGCCCCTCGCACACAAAACCTCCTTTACCCCCTCCCTCCAACCCTTCCTAGGCCGACCCCTACCCCGCCTTCCTTCCACTACAGACTGATACACTCTTGAAGTCATTCTGTTTCGCTCCATTCTCTCTACATGTCCGAACCACCTCAACAACCCTTCCTCAGCCCTCTGGACAACAGTTTTGGTAATCCCGCACCTCCTCCTAACTTCCAAACTACGAATTCTCTGCATTATATTCACACCACACATTGCCCTCAGACATGACATCTCCACTGCCTCCAGCCTTCTCCTCGCTGCAACATTCATCACCCACGCTTCACACCCATATAAGAGCGTTGGTAAAACTATACTCTCATACATTCCCCTCTTTGCCTCCAAGGACAAAGTTCTTTGTCTCCACAGACTCCTAAGTGCACCACTCACTCTTTTTCCCTCATCAATTCTATGATTCACCTCATCTTTCATAGACCCATCCGCTGACACGTCCACTCCCAAATATCTGAATACGTTCACCTCCTCCATACTCTCTCTCTCCAATCTGATATTCAATCTTTCATCACCTAATCTTTTTGTTATCCTTATAACCTTACTCTTTCCTGTATTCACCTTTAATTTTCTTCTTTTGCACACCCTACCAAATTCATCCACCAATCTCTGCAGCTTCTCTTCAGAATCTCCCAAGAGCACAGTGTCATCGAACAATTGTGTAAGTGTATATATGTAAGTGCTTTTTTAAGTGTATTTTTGGGGGTCTGAAATGGATTAATCTAATTTACGTTATTCCTTATGGGAACAAATTCGTTCAGTATCGTTACTCGAACAGCCTTCTCGAATGAAATAAATTCGTATCCCGAGGTACCACTGTATCAAGTCTGCATCCTCTGTCCTGTTTCTGGTATTCTGCTTCCCCAATCTTCATGACCCTGCATTTACTGGGGTTGAATTCAAGTATAGTTACTTATCTGATCACTTGCAATTTGTTCAATTTTTTTTTTAAGGGAGACCGAGTAAAAAAATTGAGTGAGAGAAAAAGACAGCGTGAGACCTCTCACAGTTGTAGGTAGTGCTAATTTTATTATGGGGAAGTGGAATAAGAATCTTTCCTCCGTAAGCCATGCGTGTTGTAAAAGTCGACTAAAATGCCGGGAACAATGGGCTAGTAACCCCTTTTCCTGTAAAGATTACTAAAAAGAATAAGAAGAAGAAAATTGTCAAAGTGGGAAGTCTGAATGTGTGTGGATGTTGTGCAAATGATAAGAAAGAGATGATTGTGGATGTTATGAATGAGAAGAAACTGGATGTCCTGGCTTTAAGTGAAACAAAGCTGAAGGGGGTGGGAGAGTTTCAATGGAGAGGAATAAATGGGATTAGGTCAGGGGTTTCAAATAGTTAGAGCTAAAGAAGGAGTAGCAATAATGTTGAAGGATAAGCTATGGCAGGAAAAGAGGGACTACAAATGTATAAATTCAAGGATTGTGTGGAGTAAAATAAAGATTGGATGTGAAAAGTGGGTTATAGTAAGCGTGTATGCACCTGGAGAAGAGAGAAGTGTAGAGGAGAGAGAGAGATTCTGGGAAATGTTGAGTGAATGCGTGGGTAGTTTTGAATCAAGTGTGAGAGTAATGGTGGTTGGGGATTTCAATGCTAAAGTGGGTAAAAATGTTATGGAGGGAGTAGTAGGTAAATTTGGGGTGCCAGGGGTAAATGTAATTGGGGAGCCTTTAATTGAGCTATGTGTAGAAAGAAATTTGGTAATAAGTAATACATATTTTATAAAAAAGAGGATAAATAAATATACAAGGTATGATGTAGCACGTAAAGAAAGTAGTTTGTTAGATTATGTATTGGTGGATAAAAGGTTGATGGGTAGGCTCCAGGATGTACATGTTTATAGAGGGGCAACTGATATATTGGATCATTATTTAGTTGTAGCTACAGTTAGAGTAAGAGGTAGATGGGAAAAGAGGAAGGTGGCAACAACAAGTAAGAGGGAGGTGAAAGTGTATAAACTAAGGGAGGAGGAAGTTCAGGCGAGATATAAGCGACTATTGGCAGAAAGGTGGGCTAGTGCAAAGATGAGTAGTGGGGGGGTTGAAGAGGGTTGGAATAGTTTTAAAAATGCAGTATTAGAATGTGGGGCAGAAGTTTGTGGTTATAGGAGGGTGGGGGCAGGAGGAAAGAGGAGTGATTGGTGGAATGATGAAGTAAAGGGTGTGATAAAAGAGAAAAAGGTAGCTTACGAGAGGGTTTTACAAAGCAGAAGCGTTATAAGAAGAGCAGAGTATATGGAGAGTAAAAGAAAGGTGAAGAGAGTGGTGAGAGAGTGCAAAAGGAGACCAGATTGAAGAGTGGGAGAGGCAGAGGCACTGTCAAGAAATTTTAATGAAAATAAGAAAAAATTTTAGAGTGAGTTAAACAAGTTAAGAAAGCCTAGGGAAAGTATGGATTTGTCAGTTAAAAACAGAGTAGGGGAGTTAGTAGATGGGGAGAGGGAGGTATTAGGTAGATGGCGAGAATATTTTGAGGAACTTTTAAATGTTGAGGAAGAAAGGGAGGCAGTAATTTCATGCACTGCCCATCTTTTAGGAGTGAAGGAGTGAAGAATGTAAGTGTGGTGGAGGTATGTGAGGCATTACGTAGAATGAAAGGGGGTAAAGCAGCTGGAACTGATGGGATCATGACAGAAATGTTAAAAGCAGGGGGGGATATAGTGTTGGAGTGGTTGGTACTTTTGTTTAATAAATGTATGAAAGAGGGGAAGGTACCTAGGGATTGGTGGAGAGCATGTATAGTCCCTTTATATAAAGGGAAGGGGGACAAAAGAGATTGTAAAAAATTATAGAGGAATAAGTTTACTGAGTATACCAGGAAAAGTATACGGTAGGGTTATAATTGAAAGAATTAGAGGCAAGACAGAATGTAGGATTGCGGATGAGCAAGGAGGCTTCAGAGTGGGTAGGGGATGTGTAGATCAAGTGTTTACATTGAAGCATATATGTGAACAGTATTTAGATAAAGGTAGGGAAGTTTTTATTGCATTTATGGATTTAGAAAAGGCATATGATAGAGTGGATAGAGGAGCAATGTGGCAGATGTTGCAAGTATATGGAATAGGTGGTAAGTTACTAAATGATGTAAAGAGCTTTTATGAGGATAGTGAGGCTCAGGTTAGGGTGTGTAGAAGAGAGGGAGACTACTTCCCGGTAAAAGTAGGTCTTAGACAGGGATGTGTAATGTCACCATGGTTGTTTAATATATTTATAGATGGGGTTGTAAAAGAAGTAAATGCTTGGGTGTTCGGGAGAGGGGTTAGATTAAATTATGGGGAATCAAATTCAAAATGGGAATTGACAGTTACTTTTTGCTGATGATACTGTGCTTATGGGAGATTCTAAAGAAAAATTGCAAAGGTTAGTGGATGAGTTTAAGAATGTGTGTAAAGGTAGAAAGTTGAAAGTGAACATGGAAAAGAGTAAGGTGATGAGGGTATCAAATGATTTAGATAAAGAAAAATTGGATATCAAATTGGGGAGGAGGAGTATGGAAGAAGTGAATGTTTTCAGATACAGTGGACCCCCGCATACCGCACGCATCGCATACCGTACAGTCCGCATACTGCTCGCTTTTTTCGCAAAAATTTTGCCTCGCATACCGCCCAAAAACCCGCTCACCGCCCTTCGTCCGAGACGCGTCCAATGTGCGGCCTGAGCCATGCTCACATGTTCCGCCGGTGGCATTGTTTACCAGCCAGCCTCCTCGGTAACATCCAAGCATACAATCGGAACATTTCGTATTATTACAGTGTTTTTGGTGATTTTTTCTGGAAAATAAGTGACCATGGGCCCCAAGAAAGCTTCTAGTGCCAACCCTACAGCAATAAGGGTGAGAATTACTATAGAGATGAAGAAAAAGATCATTGATAAGTATGAAAGTGGAGTGAGTGTCTCCGAGCTGGCCAGGTTGTATAATAAACCCCAATCAACCATCGCTACTATTGGTGGTACAGCTGCTGCTGTACCACCGTCAGCTGCTGCTGCACTGTCAGCTGCTGCTGCACTGTCTGCTGCTGCTGTTGTACCACCGTCAGCTGCTGCTGCTGCTGTAGCATCGTCTGCTGCTGCTGTAGCATCGTCTGCTGCTGCTGTAGCATCGTCTGCTGCTGCTGTAGCATCGTCTGCTGCTGCTGTAGCATCGTCTGCTGCTGCTGTAGCATCGTCTGCTGCTGCTGTAGCATCGTCTGTTGCTGCTGTAGCATCGTCTGCTGCTGCTGTAGCATCGTCTGTCGCTGCTGTAGCATCGTCTGTTGCTGCTGTACCACCGTCAGCTGCTGCTGCTGCTGTAGCACCGTTGTTGGTGTGGCTTATTGAGAATACCAAGAAACAATTAACCCCAGAGGATTTTCCACCCAGGATAACCCAAAAAAGTCATTGTCATCGAAGACTGTCTAACTTATTTCCATTGGAGTCCTTAATCTTGTCTCCCAGGATGCAACCCACACCAGTCGACTAACACCCAGGTGAACAGGGAAAAATGCCTGGAACTAGTGCTCATATTGGTGAATTTAAAGCCAGCAAAGGTTGGTTTGAGAGATTTAAGAATCGTAGTGGCATACACAGTGTTATAAGGCCTGCTCTGGAAGAAAATGCCAAACAGGACCTACAGTACTCAGGAGGAAAAGGCACTCCCAGGACACAGTGTCTCATCAGTCATTGCTGCATCAATAAAGGTGTCATTTATTCTTCATTTAGTAGAGTAGTACATGCACAATATATATTGTGCATGTACTACTCTACGATTGTGCATGTATCCTTCTCTTTGTGTGTAGGAAAATGTATATTTCATGTGGTAAAAATTTTTTTTTCATACTTTTGGGTGTCTTGCACGGATTAATTTGATTTCCATTATTTGGGGAAAATTCATTCGCATACCGAACATTTCGCATAACAATCAGCCCTCTTGCACGGATTAAAGTCGCTATGCGGGGGTCCACTGTACTTGGGAGTTGACGTGTCGGCGGATGGATTTATGAAGGATGAGGTTAATCATAGAATTGATGAGGGAAAAAAGGTGAGTGGTGCGTTGAGGTATATGTGGAGTCAAAAAACGTTATCTGTGGAGGCAAAGAAGGGAATGCATGAAAGTATAGTAGTACCAACACTCTTATATGGATGTGAAGCTTGGGTGGTAAATGCAGCAGCTAGGAGACAGTTGGAGGCAGTGGAGATGTCCTGTCTAAGGGCAATGTGTGGTGTAAATATTATGCAGAAAATTCGGAGTGTGGAAATTAGGAGAAGGTGTGGAGTTAATAAAAGCATTAGTCAGAGGGCAGAAGAGGGGTTGTTGAGGTGGTTTGGTCATTTAGAGAGAATGGATCAAAGTAGAATGACATGGAAAGCATATAAATCTATAGGGGAAGGAAAGAGGGGTAGGGGTCGTCCTCGAAAGGGTTGGAAAGAGGGGGTAAAGGAGGTTTTGTGGGCGAGGGGCTTGGACTTCCAGCAAGCGTGCATGAGCGTGTTAGATAGGAGTGAATGGAGACGAATGATACTTGGGACTTGACGATTGTTGGAGTGTGAGCAGGGTAATATTTAGTGAAGGGATTCAGGAAACTGGTTATTTTCATATAGTCGGACTTGAGTCCTGGAAATGGGAAGTACAATGCCTGCAATTTAAAGGAGGGGTTTGGGATATTGGCAGTTTGGAGGGATATGTTGTGTATCTTTATACGTATATGCTTCTAAACTGTTGTATTCTGAGCACCTCTGCAAAAGCAGTGATAATGTGCGAGTGTGGTGAAAGTGTTGAATGATGATGAAAGTATTTTCTTTTTGGGGATTTTCTTTCTTTTTGGGGTCACTTTGCCTCGGTGGGAGAATGCCGACTTGTTGGAAAAAAAAAATAAAGCATACATGTAATATTAATTTTTTTTTTTCAACAAACCGGCCGTATCCCACCAAGGCAGGGTGGCCCAAAAAGAAAAACAAAAGTTTCTCTTTATAAATTTAGTAATTTATATGGAGAAGGGCTTACTAGCCCCTTGCTCCTGGCATTTTAGTAGCCTCTTACATCACGCATGGCTTACGCAGGAAGAATTTTGTTCCACTTACCCATGGAGATAAGAGGAAATAAACAAGAACAAGAACTAGAAAGAAAATAGAAGAAAACCCAGAGGGGTGTGTATATATATGCTTGTACATGTATGTGTAGTGTGACTTAAGTGTAAGTAGAAGTAGCAAGACGTACCTGAAATCTTGCATGTGTATGAGACAAAAAAAAGACACCAGCAATCCTACCATCATGTAAAACAAATACAGGCTTACGTTTTACACTCGCTTGGCAGAACAGTAGTACCTCCCTGGGCGGTTGCTGTTTACCAACCTACTACCTAAAACCTTATGAAGTACTTTCTCTAAATCCATAAATGTGACACACAGCTCTTTACCCTTATCTAATTATTTTTCACTTGTATGCCTCCATATTAACACTCGGTCTACACATTTACCCTTTCTAAATCCTTGTTCCTCCACAATTTTACTTTGTCTTAGTCCTAACTCCTTCAGATTGCAATAGTGATGAATTTTACAAGAAGAATGGATTCAGTTATGGTAGTATGCATTTGGTTACAGAATAAATTGTCATTTGAACATTTCATTGAAGTACTTATTATCATACTAATTAACCAGATCTTATTGTCTTGGAAATTAATGTAACTAGCAGGTTTTTGAAATTCATAGACAGAGGTTTGTCTTGTTTAATTTATATACATTATGGAACTGTTCTGCAACTGATAATTTTTCTTGTTATGACTGTCAGATGTTCTCATTATTCCAACTATTTCTGTTACTGCTGAAAAAGGTATAAATGCCAACAAGTTGACGATTAAGATGTGCAACAGTTGGGTATCTTGATTCATCAATAAAGATACCCAACTGTTGCACATGCATCTTAATCAACATTTCTGTTGCTGTTGGTAATTTGTTGAAGGGAAAGAGATACAGAAAGATGAAGAGGTTAATGTGTATTGAGTCCCGTGTACGTAGTTAATTGTAGCTAAGTAGCAGAACTTTTGTTATAAGCCACTGTCCATTTCACCAGTAACTCCAGTGATCGTAAGGCTACTCCCCCAGCTGATGGAGAATCTCCTCCACCACCATATACTCCCTCACCTGCCAGCAAGACAAATACATTACCCAAAGCCAGTCATAAGGTAAGTGTATAGTATCAATTCATATATTACTGTACGTAGATGAATTTCTGAGCTGGTTAACTTGTTAGTACAATACCTGTGTGTTCTGATTGCAATGGAAAATAAAGCTAGTTTAAGAAAAACAGTCTGTTGATAAAGAATGTATAACTTTCATTTATTAATACAGTAAATGAAAAACTGTTTTAGGAATTAGAATAATTTTTCTAATTTTTCAGGACAATTCGGATGAAGTAACTGGTGCAAGAACCCCTGATGGAAGTGGCATGGTCAGCAGCAACCTGCGTCCCCCTGGCCCAAGGTATATCCTCCTCATGCACGACCTCTATGTTTAACACAGTATTGTAAACCTCTGTACTAACATGTAATGAATGGATGAAGCTAAGTGAAAAATGGCTGTGGTGATGCACTTTATATGCAATAACTTTGTTAAATCCTGAAGATCTTGTTTGACAGCTGAACATAAGGTTATAACATATTTATTGATGCTTTCATATAACCCATAAAATTTTCACTTACTTTGTCTTGAATCAGAATTACTAGCAGTGTTTAGAGTATTTAAAACTGTATAGAATAAAAATAAAAGTAGCTAATATAAGGAAAATATATCTTCAAATTTGTTTGTTTGAATTTATGAAAAATTGTTACCATGGGCTTGGAACAATTAAAAAAAAGATATATACTGTACTTTTGAAACAAATATACCATTCTTATCTTGAAAGACTGTATACTGATAATACAAATAAATTAAAAATGAGGATAAGTTTTTATTTATTGTAGTTATTCTATGTCTTCAGATTTCAAAGGATACTGCAGTCTTCTTATATTAACCCGTAAACGGTCCAAACGTATATATACGTTTTTACCGCTAGTGCCCCAAACGTATATATACGTTTTGTGTGTCCTACATTTAACATTGCCACGATAAGCCTGAGTCGCCTGGATATGTGAGAATGGGTGTGAGCACTCACTGTGCACCATATTAAAATAATTGGGGATGCCTGGGTACCATATGCTCTTTTTTCCTATTAAAAAACAACAATTTTTTTTTCTCAAAAAAGTTGGGGCAGTATGGTAGTGAACGTATATATATGTTTGGACCGTTTACGAGTTAATGGCTAACATAACCTCTGCCTATGATGGAGCTCTCTGAAAAACTAAATGGTCATTTTTAAAACTACATATTAGAAAAGCCCATCAAAATGTTCATCGACTACAATACTGACTTGGTTTTCTTATAGTCCTTTTAATTTCTTACATCTGTTACTTTTAACAGTACATATTTTTTTTAATATGAGAGAGAGAGAAATGTAGATATGTGTGCATGCAATTCTACACATTTATAAATTTGCTGTTTATCAGTCAGTAGACACTACAGCCCACAAATAATATAGTTTACAAATAATATATGCTGCCTGAAATGCTTAGGCATGCTAGTGGCCTTCTTTGTAATTAATGTTTTATAATATGTAAAGCACACATTGTAAGCTTTGCACAGAAATTAACATTTTCATTTTCATATAGCTCACAAACCTTAGAACACAGTGTAGCTCAAAATATTATTGCAAAAGATATAGCTCAAATAATATACAGCACGTAGTTCACAAACTTTTTTTAAACGGCCATTATCATTCATTCATTCGCTGGTTTTGCCGGAAGTGTGCTGTCATCACAGTTCGAACTGCTCCTTGAGCTGCAACATTCCTACCCCCTTTTCATAGTGCAGGCACTGTATTACCCATCTCCAGGGCTCAGGTCTGGGTAACCGGTTTTCCCCTGAATCCATTCTTGTATATTATCTTGCTTACTCTCCAACACACAAAATCCACTTGTATCAACTTGCTTCATTCTAAAATGCTTACACAGCTTGCTGGATGCTGAAGCCCCAAACACTCAAAACCACCTTTACTTGTCCCTCCAACCCATATGGGACAACTACTATCCCTGCTTTCTTCTGCCCACACAGTTATATCACATTCCATCCCCTCTAAAACCCCAAACCACCTCAACAATCCCTCCTCAGCTCTCTGAATTATACAAACCATTTTTCTGAAAATCAAAAGGCTTATAAATCATATACAATAGCTCACAAACAATTTAGCTCAAACACTGAAGCTCACAAATACTGTAGCTCTAAAACAACATATATCATAAACAATATACTATTGTAAATCATAAAATGGTAAGGGACTATACTGCCAGTAATAATAATGTTAATGATAAAAATAATAATAATAATAATAATTTTTTGGTTTACAAATGCATTGCATACAATGTATTGTATAGCATGTTTGAAAATTTAAAAATCACATTTCTATTGAAAAAACATTAGAAATAACTACTTTGGACATTGAATACAGTTGCAGCTTTCTTTTAAAACAGCAGCAATGATTAGTGAAGTTTTGAATGTGAATGCAAGTTTTGTAAATTGCTAATATTAACTAGAGAAGTGATGATCATTCAAGTCACTATGGAAAGTGCATAATATTTTCCAAACATTGATCACTTGGCTACTGTAGCATGTGTGAATGTTAACTTCTGCAGAAGTGCCAGAAAAGGAATGAGAACTTTTCATAAGAAAAAAAAGGCAGTTGAAGGGAACCCTTGTTAGTGCTGCAGTATTTCGTCAATGGATGGACTTAATTATATAATATTTAATAATCCACTACTGAATGAAAGATTGTACAGTAGTGAGGGTTTCCCTACAACATAATCTTTTTAGCTACTTGTCGGCTTATGCCATCATCAACCACCAATGAGAGTTTTCATCTTTTGTGTGAGGTACTGTTCAAGTGTCTGTAGAGTGCAAAGCAACTGTTCTACTCTCAAATTTGTCTAAAAATTGGTTCAGCTGTGGAATAGCAAATACACAGTGCAAAGTTGTGTTGGTTATTAGATGGAGGTTGCAAATTAGTTTATGTAATAGGTTATGAATTAATCTAGCTGTCCTGATAATAATGACTACAGTTGTATGCTAGGTCTAGATTTTAGTAGTATGTAAGCAATATAATTAGTTTGCCTGAAATGCATTACATAATAAGTGGCTTTCTTCTTAACCTTCATTTATATCAAATTTTATTTGTAAAGTATTTTATCAAAATGTGTTCAATGAGGATATAAAACTAACTACTGTAACTTTTTTTATGGCTCTTAAGATATAAAAAAAAATAATTTTAATTTAAATTTTAGTAAAGACAGGATGTCCTCTTAAGGAGAACTTGCATTTATGAAACAAAAATCTTTAGTTCTATTAAACATACATAGAAGTTACAGTAGTGAAATTTACATTTTTATTTGCCTACAGCTTTGATTCAGTTATAACAGTACAGATGAAAAGAACTTATAAAAATCACTGTCCGCATTTTGAGTACACCATTGGTTTTCCAATATTATAGTGAACTACTCCTGGTTTTCCAATATTATAGTGAACTACTACTGGTTTTCCAATGTTATAGTGAACTACTGGTTTTCCAATGTTATACGGATTTAGGTACTCCTGGTTTTCCAGTTATAATAAACTACCCCATATTTATTATTTTGAGTTAGGTTTGGTATGGTTAACTTTAAATAAAATAATTTGCCATTTCTAACAGTGTAAGAAATTTAAAAAAAAAAGTTTTAGGTAAAAGGCTTCTCTGGGTTTTAGGAGATACTTTATAACAACGAACATCTGAAAACCAGCACTATTGTTGTTGGCAACTGGATTTTTCACATTCTGTAAATAATGTAAATCATTTATATACAGTAGGGCCCTACTTATACGGCAGGTTAGGTTAGTAAGTAAGTTTATTCAGGTATACACAAATACAGTTACATAGATTATCACACATAGCAGCATGTGTAGAGAACCTAGGATAACCCAAAAAAGTCAGAGTGACTTATTTCCATTGGGGTTCCAGGCTTCTGCCGGAAAGCAGACATCACCAGAAAGCAGAACGCCATTTTTTCCACTTATAAATGCATGAGTTTATGAAGGATGAGGTTAACCATAGAATTGATGAAGGAAAAAAGGCGAGTGGTGTGATGAGGTATATGTGGAGACAAAAATTGTTATCTATGGAGGCAAAGAAGGGATTGTATGAAAGCATAGTGGTACAAACTCTCTTATATGGGTGTGAAGCTTGGGTTGTAAATGCTGCAGTGAGGAGGCAGTTGGAGGCAGTGGAGATGTCTTGTCTAAGGGCAGTATGTGGTGTAAATATTATGCAGAAAATTCGAAGTGTGGAAATTCGGAGAAGGTGTGGAGTTAATAAAAGTATTAGTCAGAGGGCTGAAGAGGGGTTGTTGAGGTGGTTTGGTCAATTAGAGAGAATGGATCAAAGTAGAATGACATGGAGAGGGTATAAATCTGTAGGGAAAGAAAAGCAGGGTAGGGGTCATCCTCAAAAAGGTTGGAGGGAGGGGGTAAAGGAGGTTTTGTGGGTGAGGGGCTTGGACTTCCAGCAAGCGCGTGTGTGTGTGTTAGATAGTAGTGAACGGAGACGAATGGTTTTTGGGACCCAACGAGCTGTTGGAGTGTGAGCAGGGTAATATTTAGTGAAGGGATTCAGGGAAACCGGTTATTTTATATAGCTGGACTAGAGTCCTGGAAATGGGACATACACTGTCTGCACTTTAAAGGAGGGGTTTGGGATATTTGCAGTTTGGAGGGATATGTTATACGTATATGTATATCTTTATGTATGCTTCTAAACTGTTGTATCTGGGTGCCTCTGTAAAAACATTGATTTTATATGAGTGAGGTGAAAGTGTTGAATGATGATGAAAGTTTTTTCTTTAAGGGGATTTTCTTTCTTTTTGGGTCGCCCTGCCTCGGTGGAAGAAACTCGACTTGTTGAAAAAAAAATGAATATAAATGCCAGATAACAAGTTTACACTAACATATATTTAGTTAGCAATAGAACTAGGCATTAAAAACAATGAAGAGTAAAATACACACACAATACACCCATTATACTCACCTTAAAATATTTGTAGTCTTAATGTAGGGTGTGAGGTGAGTTATATTTGTAGGAAGTCTGGTTTGGGAAGTATGGTAGCCAGCAAAGTCAGCCCTCCCTGCCCCACCCCACCCACATGTAATGTAAACAAACCAGGCGAACATGTCTGGTTTTCGTTCATATGTGTTTGTATTATACCATAATACAAGCACTTTACATTGTGTACAAGTTGTCTCCACGTTGATACGGCAGAATAAATAAAGAGCAATACTCCCATTCTCATTTAACACCATTTTTAGAAGAAATGACACTCTGAGTGAAGGCATAAGAAAGGAATGAATTTTCTGGTTACTCCCAGTAA